TGCGGAAGGGACAGATAACCCATAATTGATTTTCTTCGTTGGTTTTTTATTTGTAACCCCCCGATGAGAGACAAATAAATATACAGTACATAAATTAGAATAAATTTTTTTTATTGTTTATAAGCAAGAAATTTTGATTAGAATACTTACAATAATAGTTTATTAAAAATTAATAAAATAAAAGAGATAATAGCAAAGTTAAAAAATCAAATATTTTGATATACAGTGAAATTGGTTTATTATAGTCATAAAATATTTATTATTTTTATCTTAAAATATTCTTAAAAAAAATTTACTGTAATAAAAACAATTTGCTTGTTTTCTACTAACCATCCAATATTATTATAAATGCTTATATATGTTATTTAAAACAAAGTTAATTTTAAAATATGAGATCTTCTTTAGTATAGGTGGGTATATATAAATATTATAAGATTATTTAATATAAAAAAACTCTAACCCTAATCTAGAGCTAACTATAAACTTTACTATGACCCTCACCCTAACCCTAACTATTCTCAAATCTGTTTAGATTAGTTTAAATAATTATTTTTATATCAAATAATCTTATAATATTTATATATACCCACCTATACTAAAGATCAACCAAAATATGATATGATTGTACTATATTATAAATTTGCATACATCAATAAGTTTATATTATTTTAGAATGCATATAAATATTATTTCAGATCAAATCAACTATACTATTTTTAGAGATGCAATATTTAAAATAATGCTCATGTTCATTTTGAAAATTTATAATATAATTTTTTAATTCTTTAAAGTAAAATTATATCTTTTTTTAAAAATTATTTATATTAAATGTATATCTTTTATATAAAGTGCGCTATACTAGTAAAAGTTTTAAAATACAGTGTGTGCTTTTAGATTCAGTTTAGAACAATACTATATAGTTATTGGATGCGAAACATCCAATAACGGGAGTTATTTTTCAAATAACTCCATTATCTGGCTGTAAGTCAGATAAATACGTTATTGGTGTATAACATCCAATAACGGTGTTATCCAATATCTTTACTATGATCGGACTGACAAATAACTTTGTTATTGGCAGTCCGATCATAGTAAGATATTGGATAAAAATTTATTATTTAAATAAGCTTAACTTGCAATATAACATACATAGTACCGTATTGCGTTATTTCAAAATTCCCATTTTTTGGAAATTGTTTTTTGACTCAAAATAACACTCATATGCATTCCAAAATAACGCGCCCTCTTAAATATATCATACTACATAATTTGATCGAATTTTTCAGGAAAATTTCATTAATAAAAGCAGGGCTTCCTCTGGTAACCCAAATTCGTCAAAATGATTCGAATTACCACGCATACACATGCGAAGGTGCGCGTAATTACGCGAATACGGTAGTTTAATAAATAGATAAAATTATTAGCAAAAAATATTTGCTTATTTTATATACGTAATATTATTTTAAAGATTTTTTATATTGTTTAAATCAATTATTACAATATTGTTTGTCTTAAATATTTATATTGGATAATATAAAATAAAGAACAAAAATTATCTAATATAATTCTACACTTAATTAAAAAATATAAAATAAATTTGAAGTTATTGAATATTTTACATTTTATTAAATAACTTTTGATCTTATATCAAATTTTTTATACTATACTTATTGTGTCAAAAAAATCTTTAATGCCTCACTTGTCTCATCATCCAATCCTTTTTTTGTTTTAATATAACTATATTTTGCAATCTTCCAATCCTCTTCATCTGTGATACTAATCTTCTCATTACTCTTCTTGTCAAAATACTCAATCCATTCTGGCGAAAATCCAAATTGCTGATTTACTAATATCAAGAAATCAAATAATGTGCTATCTATAGATAATGTTAGATCATGTATTTGTGTTGCAAAAATACATTGGATAAAGATCTTTTTATAATTTTAACAATTAGTAAACAATTATTAAATTATTTTTTTTATAGATAGAGTTTATTAAAATAATAAAATTTATTATTACCTTATCATTAAAAGAATTAGATCCATCCTACAAATAGAATTATCATGTTATCAAAGTTAATTACTTCAACCTTGATCTTAATTACCGTTGACCACTGCATACAGTACCCGGGCCTTAATCAAGAATTTCATTTTTAAAATTGAATAGTGCCCGTGGATATTGTATGAGGAATCGGGTACTATATTTGGGGAACACATTATATGAAAGTAGTAAATTAAATATAGTTATACCCCGGGTATTATTCAAGAATTAAGCCAGATGGGTGGTGTATAATACCCGAATACCCAGGTCTTAATCAAGGGTTATTATTTTGAGGGATACTGTCAGTGACCAACAACGGTAATAAGTAATAATTATAATAATAAATACTTGTTCTTTTTTATTCACTATTAGTAATTTATTTTCTTTTTTCACGTCTGCAAAGCATAATCTATTTATACCAGCTTCCACTACCATTAATGTATTTGGGTGTTCCCAAGGTTTTGGATAGAGACAAAATCCAACAGCATTGGATAATACTCCATTAGTAGGATCGATATCCATTGTCATTGGTGGTAATTTATATGGAAAGCCGTTTTTATGAAAATAGTACTTAATGATACAGTAAAATAAAATAATTTATTAGTAAAATAATAATAAAGAAATGATATCACAACAATTGTCAATTAATTTACCCAATTAAATTCCATACCAATCTCATAAATCCATAATCCATTTTAATATTTAGAACACCAGACGATGAGTCAAGCCTAAATCCCTTTAGCTCTGGCCATGGAATCACAACTTCATGCTTACATCCAAATAAACATAAAGAAATTTCATTCCTTTGATACTTGACTAAAAACGTCATAGAATCTTTTCTGGAATCATTTACATAATTGTGAGTATAACCATCATAGGTGAAAATTTCGACTTTTTGAAGGTCAATTTTGAGAAATAATTTTTTTTTTGCCTCAGTTTGACACAGTCTTTTTAGTTTGGCGGATGAGGGCTCTACGGATTGTATCTGACGGTTTTGTTCGCTTAGGAAATCTTGGACATATACTTATTATGCGATACAAAATTTCATAATTATATTAGGATGTATTTTTATTGGTGTCTTAGTTCAATTTTTTTTTTTGTCGCTTAATTATTGAAATAATATACCTACTTTGTTCTTCATCACTAGGTATGTCTTCCTCCATAGTTTACGTTCAAATTTTTATTTTTTTATTTTTTATTTTTACGGTATGTACAGTAACGGAGAATTCAAGTGAGATGTTTTATCGCGAATTTATAAACAAATATATATATATATGTATCGGATATGCAGTTAAGGTTCTATCTATTATCCGGATAGCCGTATAACTTATTACCCGAACCGAAAAAATTACCAACCGGTTTACATTATCATATGCGGTTGGAATAAAATAGAATAAAATAGTGACTCGGGTATTTGACATAAATGGATATTCGATTAACCTGGATAATCTAATTAATAAATAATGATTAAATAGTGATCCTGGCCGATAGAGAAAAAAAAAAATCAGCTAAAGCAAGTTAACGGCTTAGCCAGTCGATTTTTTTAAAATTGGCTGATCGTCTTGTCATAACCAAAAACTAGGATCGTCATTCCTAAAATACGAGCAAGGTTGAGGCAAAATTTTTAGTAAATTCCGAAAATTTCGGATTAAAATTAATTAAACGACCAAGCCAGCTAAGCTGATAAAATTTATCGACTTAGTCATAGCCGAAAAATAATGAGCGGCCACGCTTAAATCGAATTAAAGTATCGTGATCAGTGATTATTTTTCACTGTGCGGATTGTGCGCAGCACAAAAAAAAATTTTTTTTGCGCGCTTTTTTTTATGTTAAAGCTTATGCATTTTGTCCCTCATCGAATTACCAAAGTAACATAAAAGGCAACAAAATGAAAACAAAATGAAAACAGAATGAAAACGAATGAAAAACAACTATGGGTTATCTGTCCTTTCCGCTCACGTGCCATACATGTTATACTATTAACAATGTAGAACTCGAAAGTATCGAAGGAATCTGTCCTAAAACTGACGGCTTTCTAAGGCTATTGCACATCGTAAGGGACGGGGAGAAAAAAAATCAGACAATTTCAACTGGAAAAAAACCAAAATTCCCCTACGATTGCTCAATATTAAAAACGAGGTAATAAAACAACCCGTACACAAAAATTTTCGTGACTGTCGTCTCGACAGGCCACTTCTTCGTAGAAACACATAAGAAATTTCTTCACGCCTGTCGTCTAGACAAGCCGCTTCAATATACACAAAACAAGAAAAAATTCACTGTGACTGTCGTCCCGACAGGCCACACTACTAACAACAAACCCAATATCAAACTTCATTGTGACTGTCGTCCCGACAGGCCAGTCCTCAACAAATATATAGCTGTCGTCCGACAGGCCAAAACTAACCAAAAAATCGGCAGAAAAACAATAAACGTCGCCTCAATAGGGGCGAAAAAACCAGACAAAGTCGGGTTGGCAAAAAAACAGAAGATACTTTTCCTGGGAAAAAACCCGTTCCCTCTAAATACTCTAACGATTACTAATTGCAAACACTACGTCAATACGTCATAAAATCACATACGAATCATACGATAAATCTCAATAATGCATCAAACAAAATCATACAATACACCCGTGATTGATTCGAGACAAAATGCTGCTCGTATCGGGCAGCTAATGACTCTTATCGATAAACCGATTATATATATATATATAGTAATAATGTTTGCTAGTAAAGAGTGCCGCTTGTTCATTCTAATCTATTAGCTGTTGTCTACCACCAATTGTTAACTACTAGGCGTTGTCTCGTCGTCTAATAGTTGTTAACTACCGGCTATTGTTAACCACTAGCTTATAGTTGTTAGGTAAATTCCTTTCTGCATGATGACGAAAGACGAAACCCTAAACCTAATGAAAGACGAAACCTAAAATTAAAATGACGATCTTAAGTTCAATTGACGAAAGCTAATTTGAAAACCTAGTACTATTGCTAAAAAAAACAATAATTTGATATTGAGGCATTTTATATAATGCTAGAGGCGTTATTGGCTTGACCCGGCTTGTATATTTAGTTTTTAAAAAACCAATTACAGGAATTATAAATAGTCAAATAAGCCATTTCAAAAATTTAAATATATAAATAAATAAATATATATATATAATATAATATATATATACAATATATATATATAGTAAATATAGGGTTACGGGTTAACTTCCCGAAATCAATTTTACTGAAATACCATTTCACCAAAGTCACAATACTGACATCCTATTTTACTAACAAGACATAATTTCGAAAATCCCATTTTATCGAAAGTTCATTTAACTGAAAATAAATTTTACCAATAAGTCATTTATCTGCAATTTTCATTTCACCGAATATTAAAAAAATGAATTCCTATTTTACTGACATGCTATTTTACCGAATGGTACATTTTTTTGACATTCTATTTCTTCGAAAATAACTTTCGGGAATCTGTTTTTCGGGATCTTGTAGGGTTCTATTACAAAATCCCGAAAACCATTTTCTCGAAAGAACATAATACCGACTAAATTGGCTGACATTATAACCAATGCTATCTTTCTGGATTTTGTGATAAAACCATCCAAAAAAGGTATATAGTGATTCTTATATTTTCCTTTAAGTTAACCGGAAAAGTTAATGTCAAATAGCATTACAACTGTTTTCATAAATTTTGGGACACCCTAAAAAAATTTGCCAAGGTCTATTCAGCCGAATTTGATATGCTAATTATCTTGCTGCTATACATATATAAATGCATCATACGTGTGTATTTGTTACTAAGATTTTTCAAAACATATTCTTGGAAAATAATTGAAAAAAGCGGTCTTCTGTGGGTCGAGTTCTCAAACAATTTCAAAAGTATGGCTGTGTTGATGAATTATTATCACTTTAAATAAACATTCTACATACTTTGAACTTTACTATAATTATTAAGACATCGTCGGCAAATATTAATAAAATCTTGACCTCTAATTTCAACTTGTGTTGCATTTTTTTCGAACCAGTTGACAACCCTGATCATATTTAAACTTTTTTTTTTTATTTGTGCTTACTCAAGTAATATAGAGTATTACGTATTAAAAATCAAATTTACAAAATTTCTTTGATTTTTGTATTGTATTTAATAAACAAGTTTGCTATACTAAAGTTACAAAGATAATTATATAATAAAAAGATTAATAAAATATAAAATTTTGTTTTTATTTGTAGATCATTTAAATTTTAAGCTGTTATATGTTTATTAAGAAAGTTCAAATTATGTTCAAACTTTTTTAGTGAAGATCTATTAATTGGCAAAAACAGTTTTTGGCATAAATTTTTGTATCATATAAGGTAAAAAAAAAAAAAAAAAAAAAAAACAATTAAGTGTTGAAAGAGTTGACATTGTGAGTATAATATAATATTGATTAAACAATGTAACTCAATATTTTTTTTATATGCTGATCACATACTAATCATACTGAAATCAAAATCAATAACTTATTAAATTTGGCCAAATAGACTTCAAAGAATTTTTTTAGGGTGTCCAGAATTTATGAACAGCTGTAAGGAAAAATTGCATAAAGAATTATGCAAATTTGTTCAGTTAAGAGATACTTTGTTGAGAATTTTCTTTTTGGGAAACAGCTTTTCGGGGAATAATCTTTTCAGAAAATTATTTTTTTCAAAAAAATATCTTTTTAGGGAAATATATCATATAATATTTGTTAGTGTAAAGGTCTTGAAAAAAGATCTTGTTGGAGAAACAGGAGTTCAAAGAAAAGGTTTTGTCAGTAAAAAAAGTCTGTTGAATAAATTTTTTTCTGAAGTTCATGTTGTTGGAAAATTGGCTATGTTGAGAAAAAAAATTTGGTGAAAACTTTTTTCAGTAAAATGTATGGTTAGAAATATGTTTTGTCAGAAAAAAGAGATGCTAGTATTATGGAATTAGGGAAATATCAGTATTAAGTTTACATAATAAGATAGCTATGTAATTACATTATGCCAAACCAGAAACAAATAAATTAATAGCTAATTGTTTTTAATGAATTTGGGTCTAAATGAATACCACAATTTAGTGTATTTATTTAAACTCAAAATATCAAAAAGGATCTGTTTATTCATAATGAATGCATTATTAAATATAATATCTCAAAAACAGATATTCTTTTTTGATGATTTTGGATTTAAAGAATACTTTGAATCTTAGTATTTATTTAAGCCAAAATCATCAAAAAAGCTAAATTATTTATTATCTGAAACTTCTAATTTATTCTCATCTTCTCCTAAAATGATTTTTAATTTTCAAGTACCTAAAATCTCTGATTTACTATTTTTTTCTTTTTAAATTTCTCTTTTTCTAATTCTTTGCTTTTTTTTTTTCTAAATTTTTTTTTAAATCTAAATTATAATCTCTTTTCAATCAACTCTTATTTTATTTTAAACTTTATTCTTTTTTATTTTTTACAAAGTCAAAAATTAAAATTAACTTAGTTATCCTCTTATTTTTAATATCAACTTCACTTTATTTTAAATTTTAAATAACAAATTAATTTCTCTTTTATTTTTACTCTTTTTCTTAATACTTACAAATTCTATATTCTAACTATTCTCTGTTATATTTTTACTACTATTAATCTCACCAAAACCTTCTGCTTGTTATAATATTCATATTTTTATTAATCTTAGTAAAAATTTTTCTTTTGATTATGTAAAAAATTCAAAACATGATTATCAAAATCTTGCTCTAATTCTTGTTTATATATATGATTATTAATTTCATCTAATCTTTTCTTCACATTATTTTTTTCACTTCATAAACTATATTATTCTCTCTTAGTTATTTTAAAAATACAATTTTATTACAAACTAACATATATATATCTTTCTACTCTTATAAATCTAATACCAAAAATCTCATATAGATAAATCTTCTTAAATCTTTTGACTAAAATCTTACTTGTATTTTCTACAACTTTACTTTGTGACAAAAGCATTTCCTTCTCTTGCATTAACCCTATGATTTCATTTTAAAATAAACTCTTTACTTCTTTTAATGATAAACTTCACTTAAAGCTTCTCTTTAAATAGCTTCAAAAATAATTATACTATTCAATTCACTAAAAACTTAAACAAAACTTCTTACAAACTTTAAA